AGATTTTTTTGCATTATGCAAAAGATTGTGAAGGAAACAAAAAATCTGCCGCACAGTGCAAACAGATCGAACCCAAAGCACAATATAAAAAAATAAATAAAAGTTACATCCGAAATGCAAACAGTCATCATTTTGTTTTTTTTTCAAACGCAAATCCTTTTTTTCGATGGCCGGAAATAACTGCACGGTGCAATATAATACGTCCACTATTATTTGCTATCCAGTTGAATGGAGTAGCCAAAAAAAGGTTTAAAAAGTGAAATAAAATTTACCTGTAACCTGCCTATAACCTTTTTCGAGTCAAAATTTATTTGCTTACAGTTTTGCATTTTTAAACTTTTTGCACGGTGCGCTAAAAAAATTTTTTTAATGACATCACTTTAATTAGAATATCTTTTTATTGATTTTTACCTGTTAAAAACCATCAAAACACATTAAAAACTAATAAAAAAAGATTTCACAAACCAATTCATCAACCAAAAAACTCGAATAAAAATATAAAGTCCGTAGAGGCATTTCATAGACTGGGCTGTAAAGTCTATGTTCGGGAAGGGAATTGAATATTTTTTTTGGTCTTTTTAAAGAGCATTGGCTTTAAAAAGTGGAACAAAACTCTCTTCCTTTCTCGCTGCGTGTCCATCTCCAGACTACGGGCTGTACGACAGGAACATCTGTTGCGGAATATTTAGTTTATTATGGAAAAAATATATAAATTATAGAAGCCACAGGGCTAAAAAATGAAGTATTAATTACGTAGTAGTGTCTTCAGAACGCCTTGAACTTCTTACTGTCCAAACAACGAAAATGGCACGTAGAGGGAATGCATATTAGGTAGTGGGCCTCAAATCAACCGGGAAAGCTAAAAAAACAGATCATACAAAGGCAACTTTATTATATTATATGTATAAATAAACCTTTTATAATAAAATGGCCCAGAAAACAATTTATAAACGCAGGCCCCTATGGCGTCCAGCTCGAGTCCTAGAAAAAAGATGTTATAATCATTTTCCGGTATTCAATAAACAAAGCAATCGAATGCATGCTTACAAAGCATTCGAAAAAAGTGTATAGATACGTCCCTCATGGTAACCCTCAGGGGCCTACACTTGGCCAGTTAAAAATAACTCCCACAGCAAACTACATACAGTAAATCTTTGGCGCCGAAAAAAACAAATATTTCCGATGAATCCGCATAAAATAGGGCACTTTAGCCGGCGACTTCTTAAAATTGACCCGAAGTATATCTAAAACTCTACGTTATTGTAGGGCTCGTTGTACAGAGGCTTTCAAAGGCATGTATATACATGCTTCAATATCTACCGTTCATTACGTAATCTTTTGCTGTAACCCACTTTTGTAGATTGTAAATAAGCATAAACTTTCCTTGATAGAATTACGTATGTAGCCAGTTAAATAGGATTTTTTGGCACACATAGTGCGCAAAATGGACGTCCTATTTTAATTTATTAGTGCTGTTGATCTTACCATTTACCTTATTATAATGTAAGTTTGCGTTAACCGCTTGCTCTATGATTACGTTTATGGCTTTCTCTGAATCGTAAGAGCTCAGTAGTTGTGAGGACCTTTCTTATTTAATGCAGCTCACATAACATTCCGTCTATGTCTCCTTCCTTCATTACGTAACCTTTTGCTGTTACCCACTTTTGGAGTTTGTAAAGAGCATAAACGATCCCTTGATAGAATTTCGTATGTAGCCGTTTAAATAAATTTTTTTTTATATTTTCGTGGGTTGTTATCCAAGGTTTTAACAATCATAAATGCTTGAATTGCAGTAAATATTAAAAGGTACGATGCCATTTCAGCAGCGCAAAAGCTTTTTTTACGAAAGTACCTCATCTTAAATCGCAACCGGATTTGTATCGTCATGTAGTACCAAAATTATTGCATTGAAGCTTAAAAGGCTTCACAATAGAAATTTATAAAAATAGTCTTGTCTTTCAAAAGACAATAAAAAAATTATATTCATTATTATATATAGTAATATATCAACAAGTAAAAAAATATTTATGCAATATATTTATAAAGTATATGTAGTAAAAAATCATTATGAACTATGTCTACAAAAGTAAACAGTCACACAACCAAAAAAACTTCAGAAAAAACATTTAGTCGAACTCTCTTCTTTGCACGGATATTCATTTTGGCCTCCAGACCTAAAACTTGACTCAGAGAACCTCTGAAATTGTTCGTGACAAACGGCTCCGTTGTAGGGTTCGTTGTACAGAGGTTTCATAATACCCACAGTTGCCTGCCTTCCAGCCATCAGCTACCAAACTTACGCACGTGTCCCTCAGAAGTTTGTGTTTTTTACGGAAATCAAATTCACGTAGTGTGTTTGGAATCCTTGCTCCACTATTTATCATTGCCGATTCCGGCCGTTGTTTCTTCTGCGAGGAGGGCCATTGATGACTGGCTGCTCCTGGGGGTGCTGTGGGATGGTGTCGTGGGCTTGAGCGACATCTGGTTGTTGTGCTTCCGCTCTTTATGGGATTGGAGCCTCTTCTCTTTCCGGGATCGGATCATCCTGTTCTGCCGGTTCTATGTCGGCGGTTAAATTACGAGTAAGTTAGAAGTTTCATGTAAAAGACAGATCCATTAAAAAGTTAAGGCCATTACAGTTCAAAACGGCGGAATCAAAAGTAAATATGTGGACTATAAATTACGCCAAGTACTCGTGCTAATGGTGTTTTTTTTGCCACTTACCGTACCCGTTATTGTAGGATATTTCATTACGTAGTCTGATCGTGTTACTATGATCGGTTTGGAAGTGGCGGATGTTTCCACCAAACTTACGAACGTGTCCCTCAAAAGTTTGTGCTTTTTACTGTAATGGGAAGGTGTTCACGATAAACATACAATTACGTCCACTTTGTTGGTAATTCTTGGGGCTAATAATTTATTTACGCAGAATTTTTAGATCATTGTGATCATGTTTACGCCCAGTGCTACCCTACTCCTCTTTTTTTATTGCGTTTCAGACGTCGTACCAGTTTATCTCACGCCGACTTTGCAAAAGCAAAATACGGTAAGCTTAAAATTACGAACGATAACCCGCACACCTTAAGCGAGGTTGGTAACGAGTTCCCAGTCTCTGTTATCGCCGATCTCTTACGAGGATGGTGACATTAATAGCTGTTGCCCTGACATTGGGAAGGCCGTGAACTTGGGGCATTTAGTGTATGTCCACTACACTGCGGATGTATACCCTAGCACCGAAAAAACAGTAATCATACATATATAGTATAAAATGGATTCTAATATAGTGCTGGCTGTTATAATTACGTGATTTTGGTTTGACCATTCACACTATTATAAGTATTTTTGCTCTACCTGTTTACCAAAAAATTACGCCTGGCACCATTGATGAAAAAAGCTAATTGGAGATTACGGAGTGAATTGACAGGACCTATATCATTTGAAAGAGCACCGAATTAAATGATCATACCGCAAGTTTCACGTTTTTTGGAGCACAATTGCGGTCGTACCAAGCCTCACAATCGGATATTATAAAGGGTGTACCAAAAAATAGAAACTTTTTTTATGGTTTCTGAAACAAAAATGGTTGTGTAGCCAAAGAAGTTTATTGCTGCAAAATTCTCAGTGTTTTTGTGGCCTAGTGGTTTGATTTTTATGCCAATATCAATTAATCTAGCTGTTTCTTTGAACTTCAAACGAAGGGACCTCGATTTTGGACTTTGTTTTTGGAGCTGTTCGAACAGTTAATTTGCTCGGTGCAGGAAGAACATTGATCGGTACAGGAAGACGTTGATCGGTCAGCGAGCTCAATCTCAACATCTTGAACAGGATTTAAAATTAATAAATTCAATATCCCGGACACCTGGCTCTTTCATTACGTAATCGTTTGCTGTAACCCACTTTTGTTCATTGCAGTGAGTGGCAAAACCTCAATGATAGAATATCCATGAAAAAGAATTCGTAAAGATTGATCCTCACCTAATTACGATCATGTCAATAAAGGATGATGGAGGGAGTCGAAGGATCAAAAACGATGACCCTTTGGCTTAGTTTGTGTGGGCCCACCCCGTACGTTATTACCCCGTACGTTCTAACCCCGTGAGGGTAATAACCGTTTTGCTGGCCGAATTTCGGCGACTCTGAACAGGCATAATAGGGTTACTATTTGCAAAAGTTTTGATATATATGGAAAAAATTGATATTCTTTATTATATTGTAATATATTGACTAACCAAAGAAATGCAAGGTATTATATGTGTAATATAAATGGAAGTATTCATGCATGATAAATAAGTATTATTATATTGAAACACAAAACAATAATAAAAAAATAAAAAAATTCAAAAAACATTCAGAAAACCGGATTCCAACTTTGTAGAGGCGGTTTGAATCTCTGCGCGAAGAGCATTGCTAAAAACAAAGGCAGAAAATTTTTGATTTTGGAGCAGAAAATAAATCCGGAACCGTCTTTTTTCCATTTCGCAATGCAGAAAAACTTTTGCTTGCCAATTTGTATGCAACAGAAAAATTTTAAGTTTTTGCGAACGGTTATTGATGTCTATGGATCACTAATAGAACTCAAAAAGAAAGACCCGTCAATTACAATTACGAGCCTTATCTGCTGTATTGATCCCAAAACAACCTTTATGGAATCTGAAACCTCTGAAATTGTTCGTTATACACGGCTCCGTTGCAGGGTTCGTTGTACAGAGGTTTCATAATACCCTCAGTTGCCTGTCTGTTAGGCATCAGCTACCAAACTTACGAACGGAACCTGCTGTACCAAGAACGGGACCGATTTCCCAACATTTTTTAGGTTACATTTTTTGCCTCACACTGTAAATTACAAACAAAAAAAATAAAAACATACGTTCACGCTTCATCCTCGTATTTTCACTTGACAGAGCTTCCAACCTCAGCTCATTTTCGATTGCGAACACTCTTTTCTGCAGTTCTTGGATTGTCTATACATAAAAGTTGGTACCCCTCTGTATATATTTTTTTTAAATGCTCTGTCTCCTCTTTTCTCTCTTGGGGTGTTGTTCTTTTTTTCTCTGTTCTCCTGAAATAATATATATATAAATTTTTTAAGAGAAATACATTTTTTTAATTTGGTGCCTACTCAAAAATAACAAACGCTTACCAAACTGTCCTTGGTCCTTCATTGATTGAAACAGTTTCACATTTGAAACTCGCAGCCGGGCAAATACCTTGGCCAATTCATCCTCCAGGGCGCTTATTTCTTCACTTTGTCTTAAAGTTTCCAGAAATACTACTTTCTCTTGATCTTCCAATTCGCTCACTAAAATATATTATACAGGGGTGCGGCAAAAAATGCTTCTGTTAGTATTAGCATTTTCATAAAGTGCGTGGACTTTTCGTCGCTAGCCGCTGTGCAAGAAAAAGGTTGACTGTACATTGATTTCTCAAAACAAAATCGCTGCGGCGCAAGCTTTTTTCCATTGCGCCGCGAAACTTGAGACAATTGCAGCGTGCAGAAATGTTTTTGAAAGCGCTATGCACTGTGCAAATGTCCATGCCCTTTATGAAGATGCTAACAAAAAATGCCTTGAGGCATTTTTTGCCTCACACTGTAAATTACAAACAAAAAATAAAAACATACGCTGCCTCCTAATTCTCGTGTTTTCGTTGGAGAGAGCCTCCAACCTCAGCTCCTGCTCGATGACGGCCACTCTTTTCTGTAATTGTTGGATTTGACGATACATCTAAAATTCTTCAATATATTTGGAGAAAATTCCTTGCCCCCTCCTTAAAAACATCCTCTACCCTCCTCCCCAACAAAAAAATCATATAAATAAGAAAGACTAAGCTTTGTCTTATTTTGTCACCTTTTGGCTCCTCCCACATTAACCTCTCCTTCTAAGGCTATAAGGACGGATGTTGTGGCCTGATGCCAAGATGTTTTTCTGTTACAATCCCCCTAGACATACAATGCGCAATTCTTGCCTGAGCAGAGAAAAATAGAAAAAATCTTCACGGAGAGAGAGAACATATTGTTCAATGTTGCGCAATTTGAGGCGTCTGGTCGTTACCTCTATTTGAGGCGTTTATCACCATCCTGACCATCTGTTCTCAAAAAAAACAGTGCAATTTGTAAAAAAAAGTTTATTTTTTGATTTTCAGCACGGTAATACAAAATAAAAAAATCCATAACATGTACAACAGGTTTAGTGTACAGATCTGTACAGTTGAAGAGTCCTTGAGCAGATGTAACACTGATAAGGATGAACTCCGTTGACATCAAACCTTATGGCGTCTTTTCTGTACTCTCGGCAATAATTCATATGGAATCTACAGGCTATAACATGTTGATTCTCCTCGACCTCTTCCAAACATATAAGATGATCAATTTTTTGATAAATATTTTTAAAGATCTGTAAATGAAGTGCGACGCTCACAAGGTACCCAAAGTACATTGCTCAGATTTTCTTTATAATAAAATATAATAAAAGTTTATATAATAAAATAACGGGCTTGGACTGCCATATTGTATACCTCGGTGGAGAGTTCCGCATTTTCCTGGTACGTTTCCCACATGAAAAAACGTATCATTTCCCCAAACTGGGGTTGTTTCTAGAGCATCCACACCAGTTCTCGGTGTGTAGCTCTAAAATTGAATACATAGCGGTTTAAATATAAATATATAAGATGGATATTTTTTATTATATTGCAATATATTGACTAACCAAAAAATGCAAGGTATTATATGCGTAATATAAATGTAAATATATATTCACGATGCATAAAATATATGTGTTACGATATTACGATATAAAACGATAATTCAAAAAAATGCAAAAAAGCATCCCAGATTTTGGAGCGACGGTTTGCGCTCTGCGTGAAGAGCAGTACTGGAAACAATGTAATAAATAAAAATGCATGACGTCAGAACATCACAATCGAGTTTTGTGCGGTTTAAATTAGCATCGCTAAAAACCATTGGAAATTGTATAAAGTTAGGCTTGAAATTTCACAAAGGCTTTGCAACTTTGAGCCGTTTCATTACAAAAAAAAACGATTACAAAAAAATCAGAGATACCTATTTTGATATTATAGATAAGGTTATTATTTTTTTATTATATAGCAATATATTGACTATCCAAAAAATGAAAGTTATTATATGTGTAATATAAAGGGCAATATATCTTCATTATATAAAACAAATATTATGATAGCACTGAATGCAATAATAAAAATAATAAAAAAAATGCATGACGTTATAACATCACAATCGAATTTTGAGCGGTTTGAATCTCTGCGGGAAGAGCACTGCTGAAAAACAACAAGGGCAGAAAATCCTTGAGTTGGAAATGAAACGGAAGCTATTTTTTATCTTTCAATGCAGAAAAACTTCTGTTATGCCAATTCGCATGTGACAGAAAAATTTACGGTTACGTAAGTTTTTTGCGAAGGGTTATTGATGTTTATGAATCACTAACAAAACTGAACTCAAAAAGAAAGAACAGCTAATTACAATGAGACCTTTGTACATCAACTCCAATAAAACAAGGTACAACAAAAAAATTTTAGTGTACAGAGGAACCAATATTGGACCAATCTGAACCCCCGTGTAAAGCTTCCACAAACCAATAAATACGAGAATATAGGATTTTTTTATATTGTAGGGTTCGTTGTACAGAGGTTTGCTTTAAAAGCATTTGTAAATATATGTAAACGTTGCTGTCGGCTAGTAATGGACCGATTTCCTGAAAATTAATTTTTGTATTGGGAAAAATGTTTTGTATGTAACGGGAAGGTATCCGTAATCGCTTTGTCGGTTGGGAGGGAGAATCGCGCCCAAAATCTGCTTCAGCCATTTATCTTATTTTGTTGCAATTTGCTTCAATATTCTTTCCCCAAGATTACGAGTAAGTTAGAAGTTTCATGTGAAAGTAAGATCGATAAACAAATGAAAGCGATTACAAACCAAAACATCTGAACCAATAGTATGTGTGCTTTAAATTACGTGTATGGCTTTCTGCCAATAATCTCCTATTGTGAGATATTTCATTACGTGGTAGAATCGTATATTTATCTTTCCTGCAGTGCAAGTATTGCTCCAAGGGAAAACCCAGATCTCTTCGCTTCGTGCGCAACTGTCTGTTTTACATTTTACGCTGCTAGCGTCATTGTATTGTCGCACTGATTTTACACAAAAGTATTGGAATTTCGGGGCTTCTTTGTGAACACCATTTCGATCGTAAAGTCTTAAAAAATCTCGTAGCTCGCGTCCTGACATCTGGCTTGTTCATTACGTAATCTTTCGCTGTAACACTTTTGTTCTTCGTAGTGAGCGGCAAAGATTCATTGATAGAATTACGATCATTTCAATAAAAGAGGCTGGAGGGAGTAAAAGGTCGGCAGGCCAATTTATTGGGGTTTAGATGAAATAGACCGGTGTCGGTGGCCATCGTTAAAAAATTACGCTGAATCTTCTGCTCGTGCTTAGGTGCTTTTTTTTGCCACGGATCAAGTCCTCTATTGTGAGATATTTCATTACGTAGTAGAATCGTATATTTATCTTTCCTGCAGTGCAAGTATTGCTCCAAGGGAAAACCCAGATCTCTTCAGTTCGTGCGCAACTGTCTATTTCACGTTTTACGTTTCTCCTTGTGTCGTACCAGTTTAAATCACGCCGATTTTACACAAAAGGATTGGTATTTCGGGGCTTCTTTGTGAACAGCATTTCGAACGTAAAGACTTAACAAGTCTCGTAGCTCGCGTCCTGATATCTGGCTCGTTCATTGCGTAATCTTTCGCTGTAACCCACTCTTGTTCTTCGTATTGAGCGGCAGAGATTCATTAATAGAATTGCGATCATATCAGCAAAAGAGGCTGGAGGGAGTAAAAGGTCGACAGGCCAATTTATTGGGGTTTTTTTTTTGAAATAGATCGGTTTTGATGGCCGCCGTTAAAAAATTACGCTGAAGCTTCTGCTCGTGCTTAGGTGCTTATTTGGAGGTGCTGATTTCGGAATGACATTTGTTTTCGATCAGTTTTACGTTTTTTTCTTAAGTAGTACTGTAAAGTTGTAATTTCTGGATTTTTTTGTTGAATAGTGAGAGGTAAGCATAGTTATTGACCACGGGCCGCAAAAAAAGTTGTGACGGTTACATTATGAAGCCCTCTGTAAATCTACTTTACAAGCACTAAATTACGTAATCGTTTGTCATATTCTTGCCGATCTCTTAGCTATATCTGTAAAAATAAATAGGGTACATAATTACGTTTGACGTTGTTGGAAATATATTCACTATATTGAACGGGCAGAATTTCCTCTATTCTGAACAGGTAGGCAGAATAGACTTACTATTTTGTAAATGTTTTAATATGAGTATATAAGATGAATATTTTTTATTATATAGCAATGTATTGACTAACCAAAAAATGCAAGGTATTATATTTGTTTAATATAAATGTAAATATATAATCACGATGCATGAATATGTGTTATGATATTACGATATGAAACTATAATTCAAAAAATAATCAAAATGCAAAAAAGCTAGAACATAGCATCCCAGATTTTGGAGTGACGGTTTGCTCTCTGCGTGAAGAGCATTACTGGAAACAATACAATAAATAAACACGCATGACGTCAGAACATCACAATCGAATTTTGTGCGGTTTGAATCTCTGCGCAAAGAGCATTGCTGAAAACAAAGGCAGAAAATTTTAGCTTTTGGTGCAGAAAATGAAACGGAAGCTTCTTTTTTCTATTGCTCAATGCAGAAAAACGTCTGTTTTGCGAATTCGTATGTAACAGAAAAATTGAATGATTACATAAGGATTAATAACAAAACTCAAAAAGATAGAACAGCTAATTAAAAGACATTTGTAAAACAAACTGCAGTACAACAACGCCTGTCCAAGATTTCGTGATAAAGAGAAGAAGTTGGAAACAAGTCGTCATTCTTTTAAAAAACCGTTGGAAATTGTATAAAGTTACGCTTGAAATTTCACAAAGCCTTTGCAACTTTGAGCCGTTTCAAACCTAACTTACGACCCATCTAGTGCTTGAAGGAAAAAAACACGGATTTTATTATTTAACGACAAGATTTACTGCCCGATTACAAAAAAGTCAGAGATACCTATTTTGATATTATAAATAAGGTTAATATTTTTTATTATATAGCAATATATTGACTAACCAAAAAATGCAAGTTATTATATGTGTAATATAAAAGGCAATATATCTTCATTATATAGGACAAATATTATGATAGCACTCAAAGCAATAATAAAAATTATAAATAAAAATGCATGACGTTATAACATCACAATCGAATTTTGTGCGGTTTGAATCTCTGCGGGAAGAGCACTAATGAAAGCAAGGGCAGAAAATTCTTGGGTTGGGGCAGAAAATGAAACGGAAGCTATCTTTTATCTGTCATTTCGCAATGCAGAAAAACTTCTATTTTGCCAATTTGTATTTGACAGAAAAATTTACGGTTACATAAGTTTTGCGATAGGTTCTTGATGTTTATGGATCACTAACAAAACTAAACTCAAAAAGAAAGAACAGCTAATTTCTTTCTTTTTGAGAAAAAACCTTTGTACACAAACTCCATTAAATCAAACTCTAAAAAAGGGTATCAGAGGACAAAAAAACCAACTTTTCGACATAAACTGAACTTCATATAGGGCTCGTGCTTTATAAGTTTCGTCGGCTTTGCGAAAAAATGTTGTAAAAAGGCGTTCAGAATTCGCTCTGAACGCCTTTTTGCAACATCAGTGCAAATCGTGAACTGATTTTGCAAAATGAGTTCACGGTTTGAACTCCCTTTTTGAAATTCAGAAGTTTTAAATGATCCGTTCAATTTGTGAACGTGTTCACGACACAGTGAATCAGTTCACTGATTTTGAAATGTCTGAACTGGTTCAGACATTGAAGCACGGACGGAAATCGAAAATTCAACAGGATTTTTTGAATTAGTTCAAAAATTCGGGATTTTTTTACGGGGTTTATTTCACTTTATAGCAAATTTTTTAAATTATGGTTAAAACCGATGTAATTCATGAATTTGATTATCATTGTCACTATTTGAAACACCGTCGTATTGGTTACAATCTTTATTTTGAAATCTAAGTCGAGAAATACGAATTCATACCCCTGTTTATACAAGGAGCCAGTATGAATTCGCAAAAAAAGTTAATTTACGGGTGGGGGGAGGACGTTCGAGTGGTTGGGGTGCGCGCTGTGCGCACCGTTCCCGGGCATTGGCTGTCGGTCCAGGTCGATGAGGAGGAGACTGATGATTTGATGGCCGATGGCATCTGCTTCTTCAGGATTTCGAGGTTTTCGGCCATGTTGTTGTTCAAATCTAAACCGAAAGAAAGAAATAAACATGATAACTGTTGTCCTACCTTGGTCATTGATTTTTGAACGATTGAACTTCTCCAGATTTTCTGCAACATCGGTGTGGACGAGATGATCCGTACTAGAAGAGGAGGCCATGCGACCTGCGGCTCCAAATCGTCTGTCACGAGCTTCTTGTCGTTCTTGTGGTGTGGACACAACATCCAAGATGTCGTTGTTGTGTTCCTAAACGAAAAAAAATAACTCGTAACTTCACTCACCTCATAATTGAACAAGTGGACGTTGGGGTTGTTGCTGTTCCTGGTGTCCTTCTCCATCATAATGACACTCATAGCGGTCGAAGTCGACGAGGAGCATCGAGAAGGGCCGACGGTATTTTGGCCGAGGATCTGAGCAATGGCTTCTGCATGATTTCGAGCTTCTGGGCCATATTGTTGTTGAAATCTAAATCGAGAAATAAATAAAAATGATCATTCCTACCTTGCCTTTTCCTCCTTTGATTTCTGAATGGTGAATTTCTCCCGATTTCGCTCAAGATCAGTGTGGACGAGGTCATTTCTCCTAGAGGACGAGGACATGCGACCAGCTGCTCCAAATCGTCAGTCACGAGCGTCCTGTCGTTCCTCAGGTGCTAATACTACATCGAAGACGTCGTTGACTTCCGAAAGAATAAAAAAGAATTTATTCTACTTACCACACTGAAGTAGAGATATAGGAAGTTGATGGCATTGTCAGCCGGGATTCTTGCGCAAATCTATCACGACCGGAGAGCGTGGAGGACAAGTTGAACACTAAAAACATAGAAAGTCATGATTACTTACAATTGGTGTTCAAACACCTAGGAGGACGAGAGTTGTTGTGGCTGAAAAAAGTCGGAGGTTCCAACGGTGACGGTTCAAGTTGACTGCAGTGAGGATAAAAGTGAAGTGAAGTCCAATCCGATAGAAAATGAGAAATGTCGAGTTGATCACCGTCATTGCAATCGCCAGTGTGGTGAGGACCTGGAATTACCTTGAAAGCACGTACAACAACAAACAATAAGAATAAACTTCCAACAAAGGCAAACGAAAACGCGGCAGCAATATGAGACTGAGGAAAAAAACGCAACAGGTTGAAAAGCTACCTACCGTAAGAATGTGTTTTCGCTGCGGGATGCAGATGCGTAAACAACGCAAAAAGAATGGAAAGAAAGGACGCACCAAAAATTTGGCGCGTAACATTTTTTTGTCAACAAAGAGAGCGAGCGCAAGGAAGAGGAAGAGAAGAGGCGCGAAAAAGGAAAAGGCGCGATGTTTAGAGTTTGAAATGGTTGCGAAATCGGAAAGGAAAGGACGTGCTTCGTTTTATTTTTTTTTTGTGTAATAAGCGGCATGTTTTGAAATTTTAGGCCATGGAGAACATCCGTCCTCCCACTGCCGTCCACAATCCCAAAAATCCTTTCGTCAGATTCATCTTTTTTTTCGTCGAGATCACTGAGGTATGTTGTTTGAAAAAGAATTTTATTGTTTTATGTTTGAGGATTGCAGTGAAATACTATTCCGGGAGATCAGAAAGATGGAAGGTAACCTTCATCACGTCCTACCGTCGGCCCTTCTCGATGCTCAAAGGAGGAAACGGGCAAGGTAGGAATGATTACGTTTATTTCTTTCTCGGTTTAGATTTGAAAAAGAACGTGGCCCAGAAGCTCGAAATCATGCAGAAGCAGAAGCCATTGCTCAGATCCCCGGGCAAAATACCGTCGGCCTTCTCGATGCTCCTAAGACCAGGAACAGCAACAACCCCAACGTCCACTTGTTCAATTATGAGGTGAGTCAAGTTACGAGTTATTTTTATTGGTTTAGGAACACAACAACGACATCTTGGATGTGGTGTCCACACCACAAGAACGACAAGAAGCTCGTGACAGACTATTTGGAGCCGCAGGTCGCATGGCCTCCTTTTCTAGCACAGATGACTTCGTCCACATCGTCTTGCGGAAAATCAGGAGAAATTCAGCAGTTCGAAAATCAATGAACGTTGGACGACCTCAGGGCAACCGATGCGAAAGACATGATCCTCTGTTCCGATGCATCCTTCGTCTTCGTCGACACCATTGAGGTATGTTGTTTAAGAATGAATTTTTATTGGTGTTTAGTTCGAGGATTGCAGTGAAATAGTATACCGGGAGATTAGAAAGATGGAAAGCAACCTGCACCACCTCCGTCTTTCCTGTATACCACCTGAATGGGGTTCATGGAAAGCATTGGCAAGCCCCTTGAAGAAGGAGAACTATACACTGGAAAAGACTTGGTTAGCACCCCATTTCGACGTTGACGTCGGCTCCGTTCAAAGAGAAGGATACGTGTTACATTTACAATGATGAGAAATCATGAGTGACCTCACCTCAAACTCAGCCCACACCCCCTCCACTCTCCGAAGTGAAGCGTTGGAATACTCACAGACTTCGTTGCAAATTGTAGAGTAAGACCACATCTCAACTTTCTCACGCCGTTCTCTCCAAAGAATAATCAATTATAATGCATTAATAATTGTTTTGTTCATCTAATTATATTATAATTACTTTGTTTGTTGTTCTTATTATCTCCGCTTATTCAATAAACATTTCGTTCCATAACTTTGAAGCATTAAACAGACGTTTATCATCATCTCTACCTGAAAATGTGCTATTTTCCCATTTATAACTGAAAAAACGGCTTCGTGGAAATTGGACACAGTGAAACTCGACAGGTTTTTTCACTGCAAAAATAATTATTTGATGATTCAATAGTGACGTAAGATTACAGTAAAAAAATCTGTCGAGTTTCACTCTGTCGAGTTTCCCTCTGTCCAATTTCCACGAAGCCAAAAAAACGTGCAATTGCACAAAAAAAAAACGATTTTAGGTTGGCTGAACCAGTTCAGCCAACCTCCGTGAAACGAATTTTAAAAATTTGGTTCACGGAGGTCTGTGAACGAATTCACCGGGGTGTTGTGAACTTCGCAGATTATGTCATGTACGAGTACATGACATTGCGAACGAGTTCACACGTTTTCGTGAATTGTTCACGAAAACGCGAAAATTCACAAAATGAACCTGATTTTGCCATATTAGTCCACGAAATTTCGAAAAAAAAACCCCTTGAACTGATTTTGCAAAAAAGGCGTTCACCGGGCTCGGTGAACGCCTTTTTACAACATTTTTTCGCAAAGCCGACGAAACTTATAAAGCACGAGCCCTATATAGCGTCACTATTCTATAACACGCATTTTTGGACCCTTGCGATTTGTTGAAGGGTTTGACGGGTTTTATTTTGCTTGGAGTATCTTTGAGTTTTCATCCGTGTTTTGGCTCCTACAACTTCTGAAATTGTTCTTGCTTTCGTCGTACTGAGTTTACTGTAATGAGGATTGAGTTGTCCAATTTTGAGCTAGTTTTCATCAAATTCTGTTTTCCTTGCGTCAAAAACTTTTTCCTTTTAGTTTTCTATCGTATAAAATGTCGCCATTAACTTTTGCCCCCACTTTCATCGAAATTCTTATTATTCCCCCAAGAAATAAAAAATAATCCAACAATCGAGTTCAAATCCAGTTTTCTTTATTGCTTTTCAACTCATTGATGTCAATGTTCTCTCTCTTCTTGAAAGGTTTGATCATGATGTAAGCATCCGGATAGATGCTGCAGCCTTGATAGTAATTCTTGACCTTCCTGTACTTCTGAAATCCGATTCGTTCGTAGAATCGGATCGCATTCTCGTTGGCGGTCATCACATGCAGATAAATGAACTTGGGGTCGTCGTTCAAAAACAAGATGTGTTTGGCTTGAGAGATCAGGAATGCGCCCAGGCCGCGGCCCTGATGCGATGGGCGGATTCCAATCGTTGAGATGTAGGGTGGCTAAAATTTTAAAAAATGAGGTATAGAGACAAAACAAAATAAAAAAAAATATTTTTGCACGGTGCAGTCAGCGTAAAAAATTTTTGTCCCGCACTGTGCAAAAAGTTTTGTTTTTCTCCAATGTTTTTCCGCATTGCGTAAAAACAATTAATTTTTATTCTGACATCAAATTTCAAAGCCTCCCGGAAGAATTATATCAATATAAAAACATCTCAAATTTCGCACAGTGCGGCCAGATTTAAAATAAATTTTGGCCGCACAGTGCGGGACAAAACCTTCTTCTTTTTTCAGCTCCCGAAATCAGAGTAGTTTTAACTTGCTTTGTGTCACGAAATTTCGGGAAAAAGTTCCTTATTTTGGCCACAACAAAGGTACTCCGCGAACTGCGCCCAAGCTTGGGCACTAAAGTTAGGAAAAAACGCGTCGACCTAGCTGGCACTGAATTACTATAATAGCTTTATAGTTTTAAGGGTACCTACGAAGGCTGTGACGACTCATTTAGTTCCATACGGAGGCAATAAATTTAGTTCCGGACATGTTTCATCGTATAAAGTGTAAAATCACGGGCTGCAGCCGTTTTTGAAGGGTAAGGTGGTACGTGAAAAAGAAGGTACCTCACTAACTAAATAAATCCACTGTCCGGGCATTGACAACGATGAATTGAGCGTGCACGCTAAATTTGGGCAAATTCCGACCAGTTTCCGCAAAGTTACAAGTCGAGGCCAAAATAATGAAGTTTTAACAAATTTCAAAACTTACTGTAACAAATTTTAGCAAAAATTAAACTTCAAATTTCATTGCAATGTGCAAAAAAAAAACAAAAAAAAAACACTGTGCATTGAAAAATTCGCTTACCCTGTACTCTTTGGCCTGAGCCAGCTCCTCGAAATCTGATGAATTCGGAGTCAATGGAGAACGATATTTCTTGATCACAAAAATAAATCCGAGCAAGTTGAGTTGATCGAAAATCGCCAGCGATAAATATTCTTCACTCTTGATGCAATCGGCAAAGTAATCAGCGGGGTATCGGATGGGGAAGACTGTGTCGCTCAGGCTGAAACAGTTGGTCGGATGAGGTTACAAAACGTACATATTTTAAAAGTAAAGTTGGAGAAAAATGAATGCCTATTCTTTATTATTCAACCTCAAAAACTCTTGTTTTTTTCGAGCTGCGCCCAAGCCGTGTTTTTTTTAATCAGAATTTTTTTTTTTTAATCAGAATTTATTTTAATCTACAGGGGAAGTACTCCAAGTGCGACGCTCCGATTTTCTTTAAATTTTGAGCACACGTCGGGCATGAACTAAACAATTCCTGAAAGTTTTAGTTCGCACTTTGCGGGCGTCGCCGAGATATCGAACGATTTTTGCCGCCGAGAGAGTACGATAAACGTGGAGAGCGGTCAGAGAGAAAAACACTTTTTGGCCATAACTTTGCCAGTTTCGTGCGGAAAAAATTGATTTTTTTGTAGAAACATTATCCGTTACAGTTGAAATAGGCACGAAACTTTTCGTGCCGGAAAAAATTAATTTTTTGTGGAAACATTACCCTCCATGGTAGAAATAGGCACGAAACTTTTCGTGCCGAAATTCAGCAAAAAGTGTCAAATTTTCGCCCACTTTCGATCTAAAAATCTCGGTTGTTTCTGCAAAGCGCGAACTAGGATTCTCGCATATATCTTAGAAAAAATTATTCTAAATCTGTGCCAAGTTTCATCAAAATCTGAGCGTCGCACTTGAAGTACTTTCCCTGTTAGTTTTATTTTTTCCCTTTCAGGAATAAGTCCAAAAATTGCCCCTTACACCGAGAAAGCACTAATAAAAATTTTGATTTTTTTCGAGCTGCGCCCTGGTTTTTTCTCAAAATTCTTTTTTTCGAAGTTTATATACCATAAGTTGAATGAAGAAATAAATAATCAGACAAAAGCATCGAAATTTCCATTTTTGGGGCAATCCGAAAAAATCAAAATTTCCGAGCTGCGCCCTAGCCTTTGTTGGAAATTCTTTTAAAAGTATTTTCCTACGGATCACTGAAAAGCCACTCCCTATTTTTGCTCCTAAAAGTTCGAATTTTAAAAATTACCACCAATTTATGTACATCTACAGATATACATACACGTATATATGTATAGTACTTACCTCTTGATCTGCTCAACATCCTTGATTTCCAACGGTCGAATTATCATTGGGAAATCGGCCGAGCCCATGGGTTTTCAGTCAGTGGACCGACCGGTCGGTCTTTTTCTCATTCCAAGTCAAAGTAAATCCAAATTTCAAATTCATTTTAAATTTTTATTCAAAAAATGGAAAATTCTCAAGGTAAATAGAAAAATTGATTACAAAAAGGAATTTAATTAAAAACTTATGGCCCGTCACTCATAAATACAATATGTTACAGGTAAAATGAAGTGATATAGTAAGACGGCTGTGTTGACGGTTGTTTTTATATCTGAACTTTGGGGAATTTGTGATTTTTTGATGGAAATTGAGGGAATTTGTGGGATTTTTGGAAATTACAGTAACCATGGAGGCTTTTATTGGCTTCTAATATATGCGGGAGACCTAGGTGTACTTCAGAAATGATCTTAGGACATTTTACAGCTGCTTACAGTCTACTGTAACAAAATGTTTAAAAATTACTGTAGCCGAGTTACCGTAACCCAGAAAAAAATAATTTTTCAGAAGAACAACTAGAAATATGCTACTGCATACGAAGCACTTAAAAATTCCGAAAAAATGATTGTTTGGTTACTGTAGCGTGATTTTCAAAACTTCCCTACAGTATGCCATATTGCAGTAGATTTGTTAGAAAATTTTAAAAAAATGATTTTAATGGCCTATAAAAGGGCTAAAAAGCCAAAAGAAACGAAATTAGTGGCCTTCTGGATTACTGTAGAAAGTTACAGTAACCCAAAATTCCCCCGAAATCCTCAAAAATCTCGAAATTTCCCTCCATCGAGACAAAATAGAACCCCAACACAACGACACTGATTATGAACTGACTTTTGTTTGCACCCATACGACAAAATATTTAAGACTGAAGAAGAAAAATAAAACCGAATACAACGCTCAAGCTACCGTAATACTGCTGTAGAAACACTGTGCGTAAGATGTACTGGTCGGGGGAAGAGAAAAGGAAGACAGAGATCACCGAATGAATTCTGCAGACATAAAAATTTAGAGAAGTTCGTCTACGGGATACTGTAACAAGAAAATTTTGTGTGGAGATTGTTACAGTAAGACTCGGGTGCTCGGATATGGATAGAATGAGGGGAAATGAAATTACAGTGATATTGGAAGGTAAGTCAAAAAAGTTGAAGGTGATGTAAAATGAGAAAAAATGGAAAAAAAGATTGTGGAAAAATGGGATTTTTTGACGTTTTTTGGGACTTTTTGGTGTAATGGTTCCAAAAAATGGCTTAAAATGGAGATGCGTATTTTACTTTCAATTTTTTTTGATGAAAAAAGCAAAAATTTTAAAATTTTAAAAATCGTATTTTAGCCAAAAAATATTTTCGAACTATTCTTCAAAAAAGTATCAAAAAGTATCAAAAAACCTCGAAAATCCCAAAGATGGAAAAACAAATTTCCGAAAAAATCGCTACTCGAAATCCCCTTCCAATTCGTTTCCTACGTCTTATTCGGCGACATGGCCCTCGGCGAGGTCGGAGCCGAGCCCTTTCCCTCTTCCGTCGGCTTCAGCTGCAGCTCGCAATCATTCTGAGGGACCGGCTTGAGCGTCGCTTTGCGATCGCGAGTCAGCAAGATCCTCTCGATATTCAGAACGGGCAGCTCCGCCATCAACGTGCATTGCGTGCCGAACACGTACGAAATGCAGAGCTGTATGAAGCAATGGATGAAGTACCTCCATTTGGCGGTGAAATGCAGGGGGAATGGGACGATGAGGTAGGTGAACACCACGGGGATCATGTGGATCAAGTACACGGAGTAGGAGAGGGAGGAGAGTGGAAGGAAGAAACGAGATGAGAGGAAGCTGTTCAGGGGTCCACCAAGCCCGGTATGGCAAGCGTAGATCAGCCAGGAGAGTCCCAGGGCGAACACGGTGCGATGTGTTGCGCCGTAGACAATGTGGTAGATGGGCCAGTCCCAGCCTGAAAAATCAAATATTTGCTTAATATATCGTATTTTACAACACTTTTTGTTTGATTTTTTTAGTCCTCAACGCTTTTGCGGGCTGTCCAAAAAAATTATTTTTTTGCACCGTGCAAAAAATAAAACTAAAAGTTTTGAGGTTTGCACGGTGCAGAAAAGCCTAAAGAATTAAGACCAGACAAATTTTGGCCATACTGTGAATCATAGCACAAAAAAACCAAAATTTTCTGTCGCACGGTGCAAAAAAAGAAAATTTTTTCTTTGCACTGTGCAGTGAGAAAGTTCCAAATTTTTTTGTGTTTGCATTATGATAAAAGAAAAATTCGACATAAAATTAGAGAACTAACGTCTATTATATTGCTAAAGATCCAAAAAATCAATTTTTCCTTCTGCACTGTGCAAAAATTTAAGAGTTTTTTGACCGCACTGTGCAAAATTTCCGATTTTCCTACCGCACAGTGCAGACGCAAAAAAAAATTTTTTTTGGGTTTTTTACTATGCAGAGTATCTAAAAAACGAAAATATGCCAAAAAAGTTCATTAACCCTCATTGCACAGTGCAAACATCTCAAATTTTACTTTTGCACTGTGCAAATCTCAAAGGTTTTATATTCCACCCCATAGCTCAACGTAAGAGTAAATTTGACCTACCTTGAAGCGCCGGGTAGACTCCAAACAATCCCCAGAACAACATAGCTCCAGCAATTGCCCATCCAGTGAGGACGAATCGCAGGCTTCTTGATTTTTTCTGCGTCTGCGCCTGGTAGCCGGCCAGATGGTAGCCCAACAAGATGCCCACAATGTATGGGCCAATTCGATACCAGGGCTTGATGTAGATCACCAAATGATGAAGAATAAAGTCCGGATTGAAGTTGGCTGGTTGTTTCCACAGCAATTGTGTTGGTGGGAAGTTGTAGATCAACATGCAAATGACATTCAAAACCGCCGAAACGACAATAGTGGCCACCGAAATGCCCAGACCGAGTGATGGGTTGCGTCGCAGCGTCAGCAGGAAGATCGGAGCCAAAAGATAGAAGATAAATTCGGTGCCGATGTACCATGTCCACGGCATGCAACGATTGTCGGTCAACGAGTTGATGAACAAGATATTTTCGATCCAATGCTTGGGACATTGGACGGCTGGGTCGGTCGGAGGCCACATTGGATGGTAATGTGTCACCGAGACTCGCATTGTAACGGCTATGAGGGTGTAGACGTAGGCAGGGTAGAGGCGGACAATACGATGACGATAGAAGCGAAGCCAGAAGCCGTAGGACGTCCAGGAGGGCTCAATTTCTGAAAAATTGGAGGGATTAGGATATAAAAAATAGATGGAAGAAATTAAAAATAGATAGACTTCATGAAATACGACGTACTTTACAAAAATGGTTTTTTCTTGATTGCACAGTGCAAAATTTGATTTTTTTTTTATATTTGAATTTTTTGCACGTTGCAACCGTATTTTATAATATTTTAAGCAATAATACGTTTATTCAAGAAAAAAGCGACCTTCTCGTATTTTACAAAGAAAAAAATGCCATTGCAGAGTGCGAAAAAAATTTATTTTTTTTTTCAAATTCACTGTGCAAAAAATAATTTTTTTTTCTTTTGCACTGTGCATTCTGTAAATTCTGTAAATTCAAAAATTAGTCCATTGCACTGTGCGAAGGATCGTACGAAATACCCTCTGTTTTGTGCAAATCAAAAAAAAAATCAGTCCACTGTGCAATTTCACAATTTTTTTTCCATTTTACTGTGCAAATCAAAGTATTTTTTAAAAATTTTTCTCCGAACTGTGCAATTTCAAAAATTTTGTCTACTGCACTGTGCAAATCAAAATTCATTTTCCCGCACTGTGCAGATAAAAAAGCTTATTTTCCGCACTGTGCAAGCCAAGATTTTTCTCCACTGCACTGTGCAAACCAAAAATTTTCTCCACTGCACTGTGCAAATTAAAAAGCTTATTCTCCGCACTGTGCAATTTCAAAAACTCTGTCTACTGCACCGTGCAAATCAAAATTCTTTTTTCCGCACTGTGCAAGCCAAGATTTTTACCAATGCACTGTGCAAATCAAAGTATTTTTTAAAAATTTTTCTCCAAACTGTGCAATTTCAAAAATTTTGTGTATTGCACTGTGCAAATCAAAATTCTTTTTTCCGCACTGTGCAAATAAAAAAGCTTATCCTCCGCACTGTGCAAACCAAAAAATGTTCTCCACTGCACTGTGCAAATAAAAAAGCTTATTATCCGCACTGTACAAACCAAAAAATGTTCTCCACTGCACTGTGCAAATCAAAATTCTTTTTTCCGCACTGTGCAATTTCAAAAACTCTGTCTACTGCACCGTGCAAATCAAAATTCTTTTTTCCGCACTGTGCAAGCCAAGATTTTTGCCAATGCACTGTGCAAAACAAAAATTTTCTCCACTGCACTGTGCAAATATAAAAGCTCATTCTCCGCACTGTGCAATTTCAAAAATTCTGTCTACTGCACTGTGCAAAAAAAAATTTTTCTCCACTGCACTGTGCAAATCAAAATTCTTTTTTCCGCACTGTGCAAGCCAAAATTTTTGAGAATGCACTGTGCGAAACAAAATTTTTCTCCACTGCACTGTGCAAGTCAAAGTTCTTTTTTCCGCACTGTGCAAACCAAGATTTTTACCGATGCACTGTGCAAATCAAAGTATTTTTTTAAATTTTTTTTCGCACTGTGCAAACCAAAAAATTTTCTCCACTGCACTGTGCAAATCAAAATTCTTTTTTCCGCACTGTGCAAGCCAAGATTTTTGCCAATGCACTGTGCAAATCAAAGTATTTTTTTAAAATTTTTCTCCGCACTGTGCAATTTCAAAAATTCTGTCTACTGCACTGTGCAAGCCAAGATTTTTGCTAATGCACTGTGCAAATCGAAATTTTTTTTCCACTGCACTGCGCAAGATAAAAAATACCGAAAACTTTCAATCCAGCTTGTGAAGAAGAGTAATGCCTTACCGCTCGTATTTTTCTGCCATTTCTTGAACCACGAATACGCCGTCAGCGTTCCAGAAAGAACCAAAAACACATCAACAGACAGCGTGAAGTTGGTGATGATTTGATTCCAGAAATTATCCACCAAATCGTCTTTGAATTCGTCCACATTTTCGATGAAAGCTTGGACAAAAATGAAGGAATGCCCGACCAACGTCCAGACCATGGAGAGAAAGCGGAGGCCGAACATGCAGGTGATCGTGGACTGGGCGTCCTTGGGCATTTGGACCAGCTTTTTGAGGTTCTTCTTGAGCGAAAAGGCCAAGAGGAATTGGGTTTCGATTGATCTGGAAGGAGATGGTTACAAAAATCATTATTCTTTTTTATTTACAGGGGAAGTACTTCAAGTGCGACGCTCAGATTTTGATGAAACTTGGCACAAATTTAGAATAATTTTTTGTAAGATATATGCGAGAATGCTAGGTCGCGCTTTGCAGAAACAACCCAGATTTTTAGATCGAAAGTCGGCCAAAATTTAGGACTTTTTGCCGAATTTCGGCACGAAAATTTTCATGCCTACTTCTACTGTACTAGGCGGGCCAAAAAGTCTTGACATGTCTGCACAGTGCGCCGTCGTGCATGCAATTTGTCGCGCGGCGACAAGAAAAATTTACGGTGCAATGCGACACCGCACAGTGCAAAAAAGATTGTTTTGAAAGGGGGAAACAACGCACAGTGCGTTCTTCATTCGCACCCCGCCAAAGGTTTTATCGCGCGACACCTCGTCGCGACACCGAATTCATGCGCCCGCACGGTGCGAAAACATGTCAAGACTTTTTGGCCCGCCTAGTACAAAAAATTAAATTTTTCCGCACGAAACTGCCAAAGTTATGGCCAAAAAGCGCTTTTCTCTCTGACCGCTCTCCACGTTTAGCGTGCTCTCTCGGCGGCAAAAATCGTTCGATATCTCGGCGGCGCCCGGAAAGCGCGAGCTAAAACTTTCAGGAATTGATATTTGGTCCATACCCGACATGTGTGCAAAATTTAAAGAAAATCTGAGCGTCGCACTTGGAGTTCTTCCCCTGTTAGATTGGAATTTTCTAGGGTATGAATGGCAGTTTTACCTTGTAATTTCATGAATAATACAGAGTTTTTAATCAGAAATTAAAATTCTTTTTTTTGATTTTGATATAATTTTGGCTGAAAATTTACAGGATTTTTTATTTTTTTTTTTTTTAACTCACTTTGCCTTGTCTCCCTTTTTGATATGGTACAGCGTTGCCAGACCAGCCAATGTGAAAAGGAAAATGTCGGAAGAAAATTGGACCAATGGGACGATCTGTTGGTACCATTGAGTGGCATGCCGGGATTTTGTGCAATCCTCATAGTCCAAGGACAAATCGTCCTCTCCTTTGGAGGCGGACTTTTGCCATTCTTTTAGAAGCTGAAAAAACGAAGTTGAAAAAGAGAGAAATATAAAAAAAGGATGGTAAAATATGGATAATGTTGTTAAAAAGTAAAAATAAAAAAAAAATAATGTGGCAAATTAGTTTATTTTGTAAAATACGCGAAAAGATGATTTTTTTTATGTAACCTTTCAAAAAAAAATTTTTTTTTGAAATTTGTAAAATACGAGATGCCGTGTAAAAATGACTTTTTTAGTCATATTCAAAAAACTTTGAAAAAATTGTTACAATTTTCATAAAAACTTTTGAAAAAAAATTATTTTTTTACGATCCCTAAAATCTTTTTCAAACTCCCAAGAAATCAAAAAAAAATAAAAAAAATTCAAAAAAATTTTTGAAAACCACGTAAAACGTTCAAAATAAAAAAAAAAAATTAAAAAAGTCTTCAACTCACCAATTGCCGATCATTGGCGCAAGTGCTTGGAATGCAAATCCCATACGCAGTCTCCCGTTTCTCATTGTTGAACCCATAACAATAGTGCAGGGGGTATTGCGAGGCACTGTACGCGGTCTCCCCAGCAGCCTGAAGACATTCGAAGGCCCGATAAATCCATCGGTCCTGGTCTCGGGATGTGAATTGGGTGGCATCGCCGGTACCGAAGGACTGCGAATAGAAGGAGCGTTGAGCTTCTAATGTGGATTTGTCGCTAAGGTAGGTCTCGACCTGAAGAGATTTGGAAATTAGTTTTGAAAAAATTTAAAAAAATTTTTTCTATTTTTTGTATATTTTTTATTTTTTTTTATTTCTATTTTTTATTTTGCCTTTTTCCTGAAAGGATTTCGAAATTAATTTTGAAAAAATTTAAAAAAAATTTTTTTTTCTATTTTTTTTTTTTTTTAATTTTTTAAATTTTTTTTTATTTTTTTTTATTTTTTTACTGCAATTTGTATTTTTGCACAGTGCAAAATCAATGACAAAAAAAATCTACTTTTGCACTGTGCAACCCAAATTTTAGGCTTATTTTTGCACTGCACAGTGCAGCAAGCATTCCAATGTCTTTCCCAAACCCTGCGAAAAAATTTTATAAAAATCAAAGTTTATATTATAAATGTGATGCATCGCCGTATTTTAAAAACAATAAATTTCAATTTAGCACAGTGCAATCAACATTTTTGGTCTTTTTTTCCATTGCACCGTGCAGAAATTTCATATCACTGATTTGTCGCACTGTGCGGAGTTTGCAAAAATGAAAGGTAGTAAATTTCCTTCTGAATGCTCAAAGATCATCGTGGAAAATAATTTTTCTCAAGTCCGCACAGTGCAACCCCATTTTTGGTCTTATTTTTGCATTGCACAGTGCAAAAAATTAAAATCTCTAATTTCGCCGCACTGTGCGGAAAATTTTAAAAATGAAATTTAACAATTTTTTTACAGCTTAAAAACTTTATATATGCAAAAAAAAATTTTTTTTAATTCACATTGAAATTTATCTTTTTTTTATTTTAATTTTTTTACTGCACTGTGCAATTTTTCGTTATAATTTCATAACGTCACTTCGTTATTTTGAAATGCAATAAAAAAGTGTTGATAAAATACATGTTCTCTAGCCAAGTAGTTATCGAAATTCCGATCAGCCGTTGACAAAACAAATAATTAATGATTGACAGCGCGGCTTAACGGTCAGACGGAATTCGAAAAACAAAATTATTGTCTGAACCGCGAATACGACAGAGATGAAGCAAAATTGGGAGAGTTGTGTAGTCTAGGATCGGTATTTCGGAGGTGAAAAAATGGCTAGACGGAAAAAAACTTTTAAAAATTTCATAAAAAAAGACAAATAATAGGAAAATTGAAAAAGTCTGTGTTTAGATCTCTTTTTAATAATTTTGAAGAGTGTCCAAACTGCAACGTATTTTACACTTCTTTTTTTAATAACTGTTTTAGTCAAACTAGCAAAAAAATGAAAGGTCAAAAAAAAAATATAAAAAAAATTCGGACGCCAAAAAACGACCTATATTTCAATATCAAACTAATTTTGCCTGGTATTTTACTCTGAACCTCATTTAGGAATACCAAATTTGTCAAAAATCGAAAAAAATAAAAATAAAAAAAATCGTTTTTATAATTTTTAGCCGTTGATGGCAAAAATTGAGCTGAAAAAGAGACTAAAAATCAGAATAAATTCAAGAAATCGTATTTTACCTTTTTAGCCTAATTTAATCATAAATCTGTCGGGAAAATAATGAACACAATGTTTCTGTGCTAATCGCGAGTTAAAAGCAAATTTTCCGGGATACGATTCATTTTCTCGGCGGCGATGCGACTTTTGCTGCGACATAGTGCTCATTATTTTCCCGACAGACTGATGATATTTTTTTAAATTGTCAAATAATTAAATTTTCAAAATTTTGATTTTTCAAAATTTTTGCAAAAAATATAAAAATAAGGCAATTATTTTGGCCACAACAAAGCTACTCCGCGAACTGCGCCCAAGCTTGGGCACTAAAGTTAGGAAAAAACGCTTCGACCTTGCTTTCACTGAATTACTATAATAGCTCTATAGTTTTGAGGGTACCTACGAAGGCTGTGACGACTCATTTAGTTCCATACGGAGGCAATAAGTTTAGTTCCGGACATGTTTCATCGTATAAAGTGTAAAATCACAGGCTGCAGCCGTTTTTGAAGGGTAAGGTGGTACGTAAAAAAGAAGGTACCTCACTAACTAAATCCACTGTCCGGGCATTGACAACGATGAATTGAGCGTGCACGCTAAATTTGGGCTAATTCCGACCAGTTTCCGCAAAGCTATAAGTTGTGGCCAAAATAAGGAACTTTTACCAAAAATAATGTCATAAACCGCATTTTTTTTTAAAAAAACTTTAATTTCAAGCACAAATATCTCACCTTATCCAACGAACTGGCGCATTTGGCCGACACATTCGACCTGGGCACCTCCCTGAGATAGGACCACACCTGATGCTCTGGGTACGAGATGACCGTGGCGGCATGGGAATTGTGAAGGAAAACAAGTAACAATATCAATGGGCTTATTCGCGCCCAAGTTGATCTCCGCATGATTCCGAAAAAACACCCGCTGAAATTTGAGGAATTAAGAAAAATGAGATTTTTTTGGGGAAATTTGGAAAATATATCGCGGAAAATCAAAATGGCAAACAAGGTAAAATACGGTAATTTGAATTCTCAAGACAAAAAAATAGAAAAAGTCTTGATTTTTTGACAAAAAAATGCAAAAATAAGGTAAAAAATCTCAAAAATATTAAAATTCAGGGGTAAAATACGGCTATTCTAGGGTCTGCGTTCCTAAAATAAAGCTTTCAATATTCAAAATAACTAAAATCATCAAAAAAATCCATAAACTTGACTGCACTGTGCGAAAAATAAAAGACTCAAAATTTCGCACAGTGCATGAAAAATTTCAAAAAAATTGTCACCGTTGCACAGTGCATTATGTATTTTTTTCATCGCATTTTGCAAGAATCCATGAAATCGATCGCACAGTGCAAAATTTCGAGATCGAAAAAATTGCACTGTGCAAAAAATAAAAAAAGTCAAAATTTTGCACAGTGCGAAGGATGATTCAAAAAAAATTGTCGCTGTTGCACTGTGCAGAGTCCAATTATCCTTTAGTGCATCGCAAAAATCAACAAAATTTGCTGCACCGTGCGAAAAATCGAAAACAAAAACTTCCGCACTGTGCGAAATTTGCAGACCAAAAAGTTCGAAAATTCGTCAAGGAAGAACCCGGAAAAATGAGAGTAAGGTAATTAGGAGATGAGCGGCATGTAATCCAAAGGAAAGTCGGATAAACTGGTCGTCAAAACAGTCAAGGAAAACAAAGAAAGAGGTGCGCGTGATTCGAAAACACGAAACCCAAAAAAGACGGAACATTTTTCGAGAAGTGGGAGGCATGGAAAAGAGCTTCTTGATTTCCGATGTAAGGTCAAACGGGCCTCGCAAAATTATTGGGAAATCGTTTGGAGCGAAAAAATATTTTTATTTTTTTCTTATTTTTTTGAGTTTTGTTGGTGATTTTGAGTGTTCAATTTGAAAAAAAAAAATTAATTTATTTTTCATTTTTACACTGCACAGAATTTTTGAATTTTCGAGAAACGCACAGTGTAAAAAGAAAAAAATCGATTGCACTGTGCGAAAAAATAAAAAGCTTAAAAAATTGCACTGTGCAATAGAAATATTGAGTAAAATTACGTTAAATAAGCTCTAATCCGACTTAAAATTGCTTTCCGATGCCGCAAGCTAGGATTAGAACTCATTTTTTGTTGTTTTTAAATATCAAATTTGACTGCACTGTGCGGAAAATAAAAAATCTTAAAAAATTGCACAGTGCAAGAAACCACTACCATAAAATTTTAAAATTGTTTAATATGCCATCTGAATACACATGACACTTTTTAAAACCCCAAACATATTTGAAAATTTTCAAAAAAATTTGAAAAAAATTCGTGCACAGTGCAAAAATAAAAATTCAAGAAACTCGCACAGTGCAGACTTAAAAACAAAAAACAAAGATTTGAATGATCGTAAAATGCCCTAACAACCATAAAAAACCTCTTTGGCATTCCAAAAATCCTTCTTTTTTCAAACAAAACGCCAAAAGTTTACTTGCACAGTGCAAAACTAAGAATTAAAAAAGCTCGCACAGTGCAGACTTAAAAACAAAAAACAGCAATTAGAAACTTCCTAAAATGCCCTAGAAAACATAACAAACCTTCTTGGCATTCCATAAATCCCTTCTATTCTTTAAAAAAGCCAAAATTTCATTTGCAGAGTGCAAACCCCCAAAAAGTCCCGAAACGTTTAAAATTTCAAAACTTTTTCCATTCTTTTCCCAAAAAATGAGCCTCCCACTTCTCTCTTCTCATATTGTTGATCAAAACTCTGCCTGGAGGGAATTAAAAAGCCCACCAGTTGCGTTTTTTTCGCATCCGGAAAATTTGGAATTGGGGATTTTTTCGAAATTTTTGTTCGGCTGTTTTTCGAAAAGACTGACCTAGAAAAGCCCTCTCCAACATATTAGAATTGCATTATTTTGGAGTGGGAAGTTGGACGGAACATTGCTCTGCAATGGAAAGGGTAATATGAGTAAAACTTTTTTAGCAAAGGTCAAATGGATTTTTCATTTTTTGCACTGTGCGGAATAGATTTTTTAATTAATTTGAAATTTTTGCTGAAAATAAAAATAATTAATTTTTTTTAGGATAGCAAAAAAAATTTGTAAAATACGGATTAGATTTTTTCTGTATCATTTTGAAAAAAGACAAAAAATATTTCAAAAATTGTGCAAAAAAAAACTTTTTTTTTAAAAAATGTAAAATACGGCTATGTCTTTTTCTAGTCTCTTATGGAACGTATTGTATTAAAAATTTATATTATAATATATATAAAAGTCATTTTCGGTCCAAAATAGACATTTTACAATTAAAAATTCACCTGCACTGTGCAAAAAAATATAAAAAAATTGTAATATTCGACTACCACACTGTCCAAAAAATCGTAAAAAACGGGCCAGACTATATTTTAAATTACTTAAAAACTCCAAAAAATGACGTCATTCCACTAAAAAATCACTTTTTAAAGATTTTATTTCCTCTAAAACCCCCCAACTCCCACCTCAAAACCTCCAATTTTCCGACTAAAAATCACCGCGCCACAACCCGCAAAATTTATTTCGCCTCCAAATTAGTCAAAATCAAAACCGATGACCCGAAATTCGCCAGCCGAAAGCCGTCGTTTTGGGCGTCTTTGAACCTGCTTCACCTTTTAAGACTCCTCTAATAATAAGACAAAAACAGACCGAAAACATATTAAATTTTGTTCAAAACATTCGGATAGACATCTTAAACTGGGCGCTGATTAGCGGCTATTGACCTTTTTCCCACCAAAACTTGAAGTTATGGGTTCGAAATGTACGTAAAACATATGGAAAAAATGTGGGAAAAAGTGGATTTTTCGGGATTTAAAGTCCAAAAAGTCAATAGTACACACAAACATTGCTATAATAGCCCAGTGTATATCAAAATCAACCTAAAAAAATCTATTTCAGCAGCCGAAAACAAGATTTTTTTATTGAAAATCAACCGCACTGTGCAGTTTTTTAAATTTAGCCCACTGCACTGTGCAAGAGCCAAATCTTTTTTTTTAGTCTTTTATTCGCCTTTTTTCTCAATTTTAACCAAATTTAGAAAGCTTTCCTCTTTGCCAGTAGCCTCTTCCCGTCTCCGGGAAGAGAAGATCTCTGACCAAAAAGTGAGACGCCGCTCTCGAAATTTGAGTCAAAACAATGAAAAAACGAGGAAGAATGGGGGAAAAATGGTGTTCAAGGACTTTTCGGCGGGATTCTAAAGCTTTTCCGTGAGAGTTCAAAGCTTTGAAAAAAATGTTTTACTGCACTGTGCAGAATTTTCGACCGACAAAAATGCACTGTGCAACGACAGGATAATGTCAAATATGGACTGAAATTTTAGAAAAAGATCTGTTACACTGAATAGACTTAATTTAGGATATGTGACAACCTCTACAATCTCGTATTTTACCAAACTTCTTCTGCACAGTGCAAAATTTTCGACCAAAAAATGCACTGTGCAATGACATGATAATGTCAAATATGGATTGAAATTTTATAAATAGGTATGCTACACTGAAAAGCGACAAGCTTACCCCGTATTTTACGAAACATTTGTCTGCACTGTGCGAAATTTTCGACAAATAAAATTGCACTGTGCAATGACAGGATAATGTTAAATATGGATAAAAATTTTAGAAATAGATCTGTTACACTGAACAGAGTTAATTTAGGATATGTGACAACCTCTACAATCTCGTATTTTACCAAACTTCTTCTGCACTGTGCAGAATTTTCGACCAACAAAAATGCACCGTGCAATGACAGGATAATGTCAAATATGGATTGAAATTTTAGAAATACGTCTACTATGCTGAACTGATTTGATTTTAGGATATGTATGCTTTTATACAATTCCGTATTTTGCCAAACATTGCTCTGCACTGTGCGGAATTTTCGCCAAAAATACGCACTGTGCAATGACTGGATAATGTCATTTATGGAAGCAAACATTAGAAATAGATCAATACGATCACGTATTTTACCAAAGATTCCTCTGCACAGTGCAAATTTAACCAATGACTTTACTGCACCGTGCAAAACTTTTTTATTCATAAAACGCTTTGAACTATAGTGAAAAATAGTCTATTTTGTCCTGCAAAAGTTTCAAAACGTCTAAATCACTAATTAATAAAGTCTACTAAAACTTCTGTGACTTCATTTCTATCCGTATTTTACCAAAATTTTTCTTGCACTGTGCAGTTTTTTCACTTTCCCTCATTGCACGGTGCAACAAAATTTTTATCCCGTTCTCATCGTTAAATGCTCAAAAATTTCACCTGCAACATTCCACCGCCATTTTGCGGCGGATTTGATTACTAATCCTTTCAGTGGATTGCAAATTTTGGTGGCGGAAAACGCGAAAATTACTTCGAAAAAAGTGTCGAACGGTTTTTGTGTCAACCGAAAATTCTCGAACCGGAAAACCGAATCCCGCAACTTACGCCGGCTTGAAAACGAAAATGACGAGAAGAAAAATGAATGAGAAATTGGATGCCCTCAAGGCATGTGGAGCGCGGATTTTTGGGTTAACGAGAAAGGGTTTTCGTAACGGATCAGCACAACGGGTACATCAACATCTCTCTTGAAGCCCTTTTTTTGCTACATTCAATTTGATTTTACGGCGCTCCGTGCAGAATGAAAAAAAAAATAAAATAAGAAACGGTAAAGGGAATTTCATTGCGCTGAGCTGAAGAATGGAATGCTAAAAGCAAAAAAATACATTTTCTGATAGCCACTACATACTACAAATCTTGAGGGAGCGACAGAGCAATGTTTGATTTCGCACAGTGCAAAATTTCTGAAGCCAAAATTTGCACTGTGCGTTGAAAATTAAACCTAATTTTAAGCTACCCACAACAAAAAAGTCCCTAGCCAGTATGATATACATAATTTTCAAGCGTTATTTTACCGT